CCTCTCCGCCCGTGGTAAATTGAATCCCAGTCTGAACACACGAAATCAAACAAATTATGTATATTGAATGATTGCTGATAAAACTGTTAAAAACAATTTACTATACTGGCAACAACAATCCGATTCTGCATCGTGGCCAGAGATTTTCCAGGCGGAAAGCGAATTTTCAATACGAACATAATAGCCCAACATAAGACTTTTAAAAAAGCCATCACAATAATAAAATAGAGAAAGATTTATTAGTAACGTTTCGTCTTTAACTTAAGACATCTTCAGATTATTTGAGATAAATTATATACATGAGGTTTTAAATACAAGCATATATTACAGGGTGTTAAATTCGAGGCCATGCTACTGAAGTCGCAGCTACGTTGGGCAGGGCACGTTTCCAGAATGGATGATCAGCGCCTGCCCAAAATTGCCTTGTATGGCAAACTTTCCACTGGCCACCGTGACAGAGGGGCACCGAAGAAATGCTACAAAGACTCTCTGAAGAAGTCCCTCGGAGCCTGCCATATCGACCACCACCAGTGGTCTATTCTTGCTGCTGACCGTGATGCCTGGCGTCGTACTGTCCATCTGGCTGTCTCCTCCTTTGAGGACTCTCGTACAGAGAACTTGACGGAGAAACGCCGCAGGAGGAAGAACCGAGAAGCTTCAGCAGCCGTACCTGACGTGACCTTTGACTGTAGCCGCTGCGGCCGAACCTGTTTGTCTCGCATCGGACTTGTCAGCCACGAGCGTGCCTGTAGTCGACGTGGACAGCCCCCTTCATAAAATCTTCGTTCGCGAAGCCAAGCCAAGAGAGAAAAGAGATATTACGAGGTGTTAAATTACATGTGAGGGGAGTAGGAAGTTTAGATGACAGAATTAAGTGAGAATGACGGCATATTAAAGAAGATGAAGGGGGATTGAGTTGCCTTGGGTGTTAAGAGATGGTTTAAGTTTGGATATAAGAAGGCTTTCGTGAATCATAAGGTCGTAATTGTCGGAGGAGGAAGAGAGAATTGAGAAGTCATTAAAATCGGCAGAGTGAGATGTATTTCTTATATGAGAAAGAACTGCAGATGGTGGTGGACATAAGGAAGGTTTCCCTGTTAAGGGAGAGATTCCCAAGTGCTCCGATATTCTGGTGTGTAAATGACGCGTGGTTTGACCCACATACGATGCAGAGCAGCATCGATACTTAAATGAGTATATAACACCAGATCTCAGGAGCTTGGGAACCTTATCTTTAAAAGGAAAGAAAGAGGAGAGACGCCTGGAAGAATGAAAAACAAAGCGAACGTTGATATGAGGAAAGGCAGCATTGCAGAGTCGAGTGATTTGAGTGTGAATCTGAAGACAGTGTAGGCCAGTAAAAGGGAGACAGAAGTACATGATTTTCTTAGGAGCAGTGTGAATAAGATCTTTGGGTTCAAATGTATTGTTGAGGAAGCGGTGAACATGACTGTCAAATATGTATGAAGGGAAGTTGTTTAAGGTGAACAATTTTCTAATAACTTCTAGTTCGGTATGAAAGTGTTCATAGCTGGAACATAGGTTGAAAATTCTGTGAAGTAAAGAGGAGATTAAGGAGCGTTTGTATTGAATGGGAATGAAACCATGGAAATTGGTGAAGAGACCAGTGAAAGTGGGCTTACGATACACGGAGGTGGAAAACTTGCCGTTTGAGCGAGTTATTTTTACGTCAAGAAAGGGGAGCGTGTTGTCTTTTTGCAGTTCAGATGTAAAGGAGATGTTAGGATGTTGGTGGTTGAGATAGGTAAGGAAAAGAGGTATGTGATCCAATGATCGGAAGAGTAGAAAGCAATCATCAACGTAACGTTGGTAAAGAAGGGGTTTGAAGGTGGAGGGACAGTTGTGAAGCCATGAATTCTCGTTGAAGGACATAAATATGTTCGCAAATAGAGGGCCTAGGGGGCTGCCCATAGCCACACCATCAATCTGTTGATAAACTTGCCGTTAAAGAAGAAATGACAGTTTTTGACGGAGAGGGAGAGAAGCTGAGTAAATTGTGAACGGTCAAGGCCTTGAAAGGACGTGTTATTGAAGAAGAGGTGATTAGTTATTATAGCGATTGTTTCATCAACAATGATTTAACATCAAAGCTTGCCATCACAAGGTTATAGGCGTTAATGTCACTGTGTAAAAGATCTTGGACAAAAGAGAAAGAGTCCTTGATAACATGGGAGCTGGCGGAGATTGGTGTAAGGAAAGGAATGAAGAATTTGGCTAGCTTGTAGTAGTAGTGGTCAATGCTAGATAAGATTGGTCTTAGAGGGATGGAGGATTTATGAATTTTAAGGAGTCCATATAGTATGCCGATACGTGTACCAGTGGGATAAAGTTCGTTGTATGTTTTTTCATTTATGCATTTTTCTGTCTTTAGTTTTCTCAATAACGTCTTTACTTGACTCTCGCATTTCAGTGTAATTTTGATGGCATCATCATTTAGAAGTTCGCATTTCGATGTGTCTGCTAGAATTTCCATCATCTTTTTGTGGTAGTCGTTTTTATTCAGAATAAAAACTCCGTTGCCTTTATCCGGTTTCAGAATGACGATGTTGTTCTCATTTCTCAGGTCATTTAAAGCGTTTAGTTCATTCTCCGTGTATAAGGCATTCGGTCGGCTGAAACTGCGAAAACCCGAGTAAGCTATCTCCTTTAGTTTAGCTTTAATTGAGTCAGGGAAAAAGCCAGAGGGTGTGTGGACGGGTTCTTGTTGAAGGCGATTCTAAAATTTCTCAAATGGTGTTAGGAAAGTGCACGAGTTTAGTTTGGTAGGTGGAACAGCAAAGTTGAGGCCCTTCGAAAGGATTTCTTTTTCTTTTTGGGTGATAAAACGATTTGAGAAATTGAAAACCACGTCGTCAGGGTTGATTGGGCTTGTGTTAATCTGTCCAGTGCTAAGGCGAAATATCTTGCGGTCTTGGGTGCGTTGTTGATGGCTTAGTTTTGTTGAGTTCTCACGATCAGAAACATGTTTTAGGTGAATGAAGTCAAGGTTTGAAACCAAAGATGCCAGTCTGGAATGTGCGGTCGTAGCTTGTGATGATAGTACTCGTATCCGAGCGTGCTTTGTGTTTATTTCTTCTTGTAACAACTTATGTTGACATTGTTAATAGGCGCTAGAAGATCGCAATCTGCGAGTAGCAACCTTAAACCATAGGAATCGTGGTATTATCGAGCGCTTCTTACACGTTATAAGGAACTCTAGGTCGAGTTTGGCTTTTCCTAGCTTGAGTTCAAGACGCTGAAATTTGCAGTTCTTTCATCTGCAGTTTGAGATAAATTATATACATGAGTTGAAGACTCTGGAGTTTGCAGTTCAATCATCTGCAGTTCTTTCTCATATAAGAAATACATCTCACTCTGCCGATTTTAATGACTTCTCAATTCTCTCTTCCTCCTCCGACCTTTATGACCTTATGATTCATGAAAGCCATCTTATATCCAAACTTAAGCCCTCTCTTAACACCCAAGGCAACTCAATCCCCCTTCACTTTCTTTAATATGCCGTCATTCTCACTTAATTCCGTCATCTAAACTTCTTACTCCCCTCACATGTAATTTAACACCCTGTAATATATGCTTGTATTTAAAACCTCATGTATATAATTTATCTCAAATAATCTGAAGATGTCTTAAGTTAAAGACAAAACGTTATTAATAAATCTTTCTTTATTTTACTATTGTGATGGCTTTTTTAAAAGTCTTATGTTGGGCTATTATGTTCATATTGAAAATTTGTTTAAAAGCATAGTACCCATTTGATCATATAGTACTGCTTTGTAGATACTGTGTCGCCTACTCTCAACAAGATCGAACTCTTCAAAAAAGAATTTCTAACCAAGGAAAAATTCGGTGTTTTTCACTAGAAAAGGGCTCGTTCTGTTGTTTACTACCAGAGGCATAAGTTACATGTGCGTATGACGTTTGAAATAGTGCTTAACATTCCTTATCCATTCTTGCAGTAAATATATTTGTTTCCCGCTGCGATCTATAGAAATGCTTTACATTTATTATCAAACGATATTAATCTACGACGCATTTAACATACTTTGATGTTTATAATCTGTTTATAACAAAAATGGCAACGGAATCAAAATTTCTCAAATTTTCAAACACTTAAAGATCGTCCTATTAATTGTAAGTTTTCCAGACTTTGTTTTATTGTATTAATCGCAAAACTAAAGAATGGTACGCATTAAATGTTAGGTTGAATATATGTGAAATATTTCATGATGTATAATCTATTCATTTGCCAGGGCTAGTTCTGTTTATCTTATTTATCCTTCTGTATTTAACTCTATGTCTTTAACCTTTTATTTTTTGTACACATTTCGCCACAGCGATAAAAAAGAAAAAACTTTGTTGAGCCGATGAACTGTTCTAAAACATTTAATATTTTCTCTTGTCGGATGACGATGTAAATCGTTGCCGGAAATGACACGTAGGCAATTTAAAAAATTATTTCTTGGGAAAGTTGGTCTTGGCATTATTTAAATCGATTGCTTGATTTATCATTTGTATCTGAACTTCCTTTACATTATTCCTTCAAAATTTTGTGATGTGTGAATATTTATAAGAATTGGTTGGTTAACAGACAGTTTTTGAGCCACTGGCCATTAGGGCATTAACCGTGTGTTAAAACTCAGGTGAAATTGCTCGTACTTGTTGAGCGGTGAGAAAATAAGGACAAAAGGAAGTATTGAAGATTGTTGATAAATAGCATGGAAGTATAAGAAAATACATATAATAAATGTATGAATAGTTAAATAAAAACATAAATAAATTATGAAATTTTGACAATGAAAACCGACAAATCATTTAGTCACTGATGCCGAAACTAACTATTAATTTGGCAAACACGATGTGCAGTCTACGACATCGTGAAAATGGAGCAAACATAATTCATTTATACAAATGACTTCACGAAAAAATTTATAAATTTGTTTGCGAATAACATTTAGCTAGCGACTTTTTGCTATGTATAATTTTAATTTCATGCTTATTTAAAACAAAGGATAATGTCAAAGAATAAAGCATTCATACTTGCTTTTCAGTTATGCCTGCACATGTTTTCTACTCATGAAAAAACCCACAGCTAGTGTGAAGTATAGCTGCTTTAGTAGGATAAGAATAGGTAAAAAATTCCAAAATAGGAGCAAGAGTTAGGTCTTGGTCATTGTTAAGTCACATATTCATTCATCCATGTCTTTGAAACAGATAACTTATATTGTCGCAAAATACAATTACATTTATAAGAACAAATTGGTTTATATCAATCATTTTTTAGCTCAAGAATCTCCATCAATTAAGTTTCTTTATTGTTTTAAATTGAGTACCCAAAAAAACAGTCAATAAGACGTTAGATTTTGTATTGCGTTAAACACGATAGCAAATGAGCGCCTAGAATGTACGTAGAAATAGATGAAACAAAAAATTTTCTTGTTCGCTTGTAACAAATAACAGTCGATGTTAATTCACAGATACTCTATCAACGCTTCTAAAAGAACCACTACGTTTCCTGTGATTAATCCAAAGTTGGGATTGAAAAGTTCCACTGAAGGAAAGTTGAAAATAATAATCAAGAGCTCAAACAAATATTTGCCGTATCACGAGAAGAGATGGGGATATGGGCGTCACAACCAGCAGCTATGCAGTCCTTGGAAGATGGAAATTCTAATATGAAAAATGGCGCTTACGAAAGGGCAATTAAACACTACCAAGAATGTTTGGAAGTTACAAACGAAATTAGCGTCAAAATAATGGCGTTCTTTGGTCTTGGTAACGCTTATACTCTCTCTGATGAACGGAAGGAAGCAATAAACTGCTTTAATGATTGCTTGAACTTTTCATCAAAAGTGGAAATGAAATATTTTCAACATCAAATATACCTCGGGTTGGGGAGTATTTATTGTACCACTAAAAGATTGCAGGAAGGCATAAAGAAAGATGAAATGGACTGTCTTTGTCATATTGCATTAGGAGGATTGAATAAGTTGCTTGGAAATTATGAGAAATCTCTTGAGCATTACAAAAAAGGATTTAATCTTCTTGAATGTCAACACCAACAGGAAATGCAAAAAGAAAATCAACTAGGAAACCAACAGGTACAACAACAAGAACAAGAACAAAATAAACGTCGACTACGACGTCAAAAAAAAGTTGGTGGTATTAACGTTAGTAAAGATTTCGCTGACCATTACTTGAAGAACTTGTCAATTGTTACTTCTGCTGGAATTGTAAGTGAAGTGTTGGCTGTTTATTGGGAATTAGCTGAATTGTTTGATAAACTTGAAGATTGGAGTGAAGCAATACAAATTTATGAAATTTATTTGGAGATTGTTACCAATGGCAAGGATATGGAGAAACAAAAAATTGCCATGCAGTGTCTAATGCAAATATACGAAAAGGAAGGACGTCATTACTTAAAGGATTCAATAGAACTGAAATTACAAGACCTCGATAGGAAAAAGAAGAATAAAGGTACAGAATCAGATAAATTCAGCTTAGCTAAAAGATAAATTTTAATATCAGTCAACTTTTATTATAAATTCAAGGTTGAAAAACTAACTATTCTTCGTTCAGAGTTTCACTCAAGTTGTTGGTCACAAAATTGTTTGTGTGTAATATTCTTTTAACCGTATTTTTGTTATCTGCTATCCTCCACTCATGCCAGAACGTATTGCCTGAACCAATGGCATAAGAAGCAAGGGAAAAATAGGGGGCTCAAGCTTTTTTGGTAAACTTTTTCATTCAAAAACGACACTTTTCTTGAAAAAAAGGAAATTTTTTATATTGAATTTAAAAGTTGTAGGGGCACGTGCCCTCCTTCATACGTCACTAGCTTGAACGAGTTGTTAATGATGGTTTTTCATAAAATATTTTGAAATGTACACTTGGTATGAAAAGTCTCAATGCAATAAAAAGAAGCTTGAGCTACTTTTATACATCTGATTATTCATTCACATTTACTCTTTATGAATGTAATACTTTTACTTCAATTTCAGAATTGCAGTTACAAGAATGGAAATACCTTGGTGAATCAACAAAACATAAAGAATCATTCCAAAGACTTATTGAGTATGGGCGTGATCCCAGCATCAAGGTTGATTATGTGGGTGATGTATGTGTAATTTTCTCTGAAGAGTTTTGTATCGGCAAAGGAAGTGATGGAACACGTGTTTATCTTGGACTTGGAAAAGATGGTTACGGTAAAGCAGTGAAACGAATACGACGAGATAACAATCTTGCTCTGCAAGAAAACACAATTTTTAATGAAAGCAATGCACAGGAGTCGGAGTATGTTGTAAATTATTCTTACTTAGAACAAGAGAGTGGAACAGAATATGTATATTTAATACTTGACCTGTGTGAAGAATCATTGCAGGATTTTGTACTGTCAGAAGCAAATTCTTCGACTTATCTTCGAAAAACTCTTCCCGAAATTCTCAGACAAATTTTAAAAGGATTAGCTGATCTTCATAGCGAGCCACGTCCTATTCTTCATCGAGATTTAAAACCTTCAAATGTTCTACGAGACGCACAAGGTAAATTTTTAATAGCCGACTTTGGTATTAGTCGAATATTGAAGGATGACCGTACGACATATTCAAGCATTGCAAAAAGTGGCACTGAGTATTGGATTGCTCCGGAATCGTATTGTGTGAAGGGTCAGTCGAAAAAAAAAGCTCGTTTCAAAAGACAGTCAGATGTAATGGTAGGTGCAAAAGGGTAACTTTTGCAAATTAAATTGACTTTTATTTTCGACATTTCTTATAAGCTCTTTCATTTACATTGATTTTAGAATGCAGGAATGGTGGCTTATTATGTTGCAACAAAAGGAAAACATCCTTTTGGACCTCCAGAGTATAGACTAAAAAACTTGTTAGATGGAAACCCTGTTGGCTTAGAGGAAATCGACAATGTTCAACTTAAAGATCTACTTTTATGGATGCTACAACTTGTACCTGAACTCAGACCATCTGCCAACGAGGCGTTAAAACACCCTTATCTTCAATCCTATGAGAAAAACTTTGATATGCTGTGTGATGTGGCAAACCAACCAGGGATAGAGATACCGTATTTAGGTCATCCTCTAAACTCAGATGTGCATGAGCAGTTAAATGGTCTAAAAAATTGGATGGACCGTATTGAACCCGAAGTTTTTAGTAATTTCAATAAAACTGAATACGACTCCACATGGTTGGGTTGCTTAAAATTTTTGCAAAACTTTCACCAGAATCCACCTGATAAACCACTCATACATATCAAGAAAGGCAACTATGAAGAGTATTTCTTACGAGCTTTCCCAGAGCTTCCTCTGTTGGTGCATAGAATCACAAGGTTTAATGATTGGAAAACAAAACCTGATCTTGAAGAACATTTTACAAGTAAGTTACAACCACTGAAAAGATTATATTATTTTCAATGATGGATCCGATTTTAGGCTTTCTTTTCAATGTGAAAACATTATAGCTTTTAGTACAAACTTTTTTAAAAATGCTGTATTGATAAGACTGACGAAAATTTAATCGAGTCAGTCATTTAGGGTTTTCGTGTAAACTTTCATGAGTGAGGAAAACAAGAATCTTTGTTTTTGATCCATCGCTATTGAGCAATTAATTTTGGCATTGATATCGCGTTAAAGATTGGCAAACATTCTTTGCATTTTCAGCATTTTATATTTTTAAAGATCCAGAGCTCAAATACTCTTAAACATTATATCGTGATGTTTTTTTCATATGGTGCTCTGTAGTCTGTAGTCAAATTTCATTTGTAACAGATTTAAATAAAGTTAGTAGATTCTAACTACTGTCTCAGAGTGACAGTCGATAGTAAAAGTCGAGAGTAAAATAAAAAGTCAAGATTTTAAATGAAAAGTCAAGAGTCGAAATGAAACTGATTGTATCAATAAGCCTATATTGTAAGTTGCTTTGTAGCTACGTATTGTTTTTTATTGTTGCTTATTCATATTTCTTCTGTTCTATTGTAGAATCATATTTGCTAGACTTTAGACTACTTTTAGCTAATTGTTTGACTATTCTTATCATTCATGCCTAAATGTGACAATTTTACGTGATTTTAAGACTTGGTGTGGCCAGAGTGGAAATATATTGATGAATCAACACAACATAGAGAGTTGTTTTTAAAATTGATCAAGTATGGACGCGATCCCAACGTCGTCATTGAACAAGTGAACGATGTAGGTGTAATTTTCTCAGACGAGTTTTGCATCGGCGAAGGAAGTAATGAAACTCGTGTTTATCTCGGACTCGGAAAAGATGGTTACGGTAAAGCAGTGAAACGAATGCTTAAAGATAACTTCATCAATCTTGCACAGCAAGAAAAGAAAATTTTAAATGGAATCAACCCTAAGGAGTCGAATTATGTTGTAAATTATTACCACTTAGAAGAAGATACCGGAACTGAATATGTATATTTGATACTCGACCTATGTGAAGAATCTCTAGAGAGTTTTGTGCAATCTTCTAGTTTGTATGATCTTCAAAAATCTCTTCCTAAAGTTCTCCGACAAACGCTAAAAGGATTAGCTGATCTTCATAGTGGTTCTATTCTTCATCGAGATTTGAAACCTTCCAATGTTCTCCGTAACTCACAGAGCAAATTTTTGCTAGCTGACTTTGGTATTAGTCGAATGATGAAGAATGACTCCAAGAGATTTAAAAGCAATGCTAAATGGGAAACTGAGTATTGGATTGCTCCTGAATCTTATAGTGAAGAGGATGAATCAGTTAATAATTCATGTTACCAAAAAAAGTCTGATGTAATGGTAGGTTTAAATTTGTAACATTTGCAAATCGAAATGTAATTTATTAACATTTTAAAAATGCTGAAAAAACGTTTTCATTGATTTTAGAATGCAGGAATGGTGGCTTATTATGTTGCCACAAAAGGGAAACATCCTTTTGGGCCTCCAGAGTATAGACTGAAAAACTTGTTAGATGGAAACCCTGTTGGCTTAAAGGAAATCGACGATGTTCAACTTAAAGATCTACTTTCGTGGATGCTACAACTTGTACCTGAGCTAAGACCATCTGCCAACGAAGCGTTAAAACACCCTTATCTACAATCCTATGAGAAGAACTTTGATATGCTGTGTGATGTGGCAAACCAACCAGGGATAGAGATACCGTATTTAGGTCATCCTCTTAACTCAGATGTGCATGAGCAGTTAAATGGTCTAAAAAATTGGATGGACCGTATTGAACCCGAAGTTTTTAGTAATTTCAATAAAAGTCAATACGACTCCACATGGTTGGGTTGCTTAAAATTTTTGCAAAACGTTCGCCAGAATCAGCCTGATAAACCACTCATACATATCAAGAAAGGCAACTATGAAGAGTATTTCTTACGAGCTTTCCCAGAGCTTCCTCTGTTGGTGCATAGATGCACAAGGCTTAATGATTGGAAAACAAAACCTGATCTTGAAGAACATTTTACAAGTAAGTTACAACCACTGAAATAATTCTATTATTTTCAATGATGGATTTAATTGGCAACTCTATGACAACAAAATTTATCATGACTACAAAACTCTCAAGAAATGATTAACAACTATAAAGAGTATTTCTTGAGAGTTTTCCAAGAGCTTCCCCTTTTGGTCACAAAATGAAAATTATACAGGAGGGCCATTCAAGTGTGCGCCGCGTCTTCACGCTGGCCATCATTCTAGCAAGATATTTAGGGCTTTTCACTTGTTCCCAACCACTGCAATTACATATTTTCGTTTCTTCACAATGAAATCGAAAATATATTTCAATATAAGAAGTGACGTCGTGTCATGTCAGTGGTTGGGCTGCCGATATGCGCGAGGACAAAAACATCAAAGGCTCCGACACGAGTGACCCTTCTGTATATTCCATATTCTGTGTTTTGTTGCACAGAATCATAAGGTTAAGAGAATGGAAATCAAGACCTGATCTTGAAGAACAGTTTGCGAGTAAGTTTCAGTCAAAGAAATAATTCTTCAGTATGAACGAGATCTATGAATTAATGTTGCATTTTTCCCTGATAACTTTCCAACATAGCAGTTTGTTGTTTTGGCCTGTTTGCAAGGTGATTTGAACGTCGGGAATCGTATAAATATACTTATTCTCTGTTAATTTTTCCTTTTTAAGTCTTATAGTTATATTTTATGTTCTAGAAATATATTAAACTATTTTAGAAAAGTTAACTATTTTATTATTTCTCATTGAAAAAGTCGGTCAAGTGAAAACTCTTTTTAAGACTTTGTTATCTTGAATAGGTAAATGAATCACGAACAAATTCATGCTGTGTTATTATCAAAGGATCTATCTTAAGCTAAATTCCTTTAATTCGAATCCACTCCTTTTATTCATCGTCACTTTTTGTTTTGATGTCACTGATGTGTTTTAATTTTTAAAGATATTCTTCATTCATAAGGTTGATAAGGTTGTCGATGTAAATATTTTTCCAATTGAGTTTTCCAGTCAGCTCTGAAAAGGATTTACGACGTCCTTTTTCAAAATTTTTTATTGAGCACTTTCGTTTCTACTGAGACAATGATACAAATTGCTGTTGCGTGCATTTTTCAACAGTTTTGCACAACAGCTGTTCAACAGTTTTGCACTCTGATATTTGAAGTTCAAGTTTGATCTAAGAAGGCATAAAGTCCAATTCAACTATTCATTAAAGAACATCGGTTTACCCTGTCGTAACCAATAAATTTAAGACGGCCGATAAAAAAAAGGAAAGCTTGATTAAAACAATGAGATAGAAAACATATTTCTACTTCAACAAAGAAGAAGTTGTGAATGACTCTAAATTTGAACTACCTTTCTAAAACTGGGCTCCAACAATTGATCTCCCGAAAGATTTTGAAAGCTACGTTCTTAAAAATTGTCTCAAGTAACAATAGTTTACGAATATCAACGATCAGTTATTAACCTCGCGCAATATTGTGATCATTTGTTTCTTGATTGCATTGGCATGAAACTCTCTGTAACTAGTGTAAGAATTGTGACTAGTTTACTTGTAAATATATACTCTATTTCGATATTGAGCACTTTTTATTCGCAATAATTTTACACGAAATTTAACTAGCTATAACTCTTTTTAGATACCATGAAGCTAGCAGATCTTCAGGTGCTCAAAATGAATGTCAGAGAAAGTTTAAAAGATCTTAATTTCAAAGAAAATAGTTTCATTCTGATAGCGAACAAAGTTTCTCAAGAGTACAGAGCCTCAAATACTTTGGCATTTTTAAAGAAGATACCTTGGATCGCAGTACTCGATTTGTTTGACTTAAAAACAGAAGAAGATGGCCTTTATTATATTGCTAATGAAACAAATGACCTTGCTAGACCAATAAAAAAAGATTTAAGTGACTTCAGTGATTCGAAAAAAAATGAAGAGCTCTTAAAAGTTGATACCGCTTGGATTACTCGTAGTAAAGAGTTGCACGAGGAAAACTGGACAAAATGTTCGAAAGACTTGGTTTACAAAGCGTTAACAGCCTTCTGTGACTGCCCTACGGGTCATCCACATTGTGTTTTTTTGATAATGGGAGACACCAATTTGAAAGAAATGGCTTCTATTATCGAGGCATCGTTCAGCATTATTCATGCAAACGACACTCATAAGCATATCAGTGTCATACCAGAGAAGAAAGAAACTAGAGAAAAGTTGATAAAACTTTTAGATGATGACATTAATAAGGAGATAAAACCTTCATGCTCTGGTTTCGGAATTCCAATGAATCTTCTTAAAACTGTGGCTATGGAGCTACTTGGAGCAGACGAACTCGAAGGGCCTGACACAACTGTGGAGCTACCGTTTATCTACCATGGTCATCATTGTCTTGTGCGCAATAAAAGGATTCAGTCGCTTACAGATTTGGAAATTTATCTACCACAGCCTAGACTAAGTGATAATTTAGAAGATATGAAAAAGGCAAAAGAAAATTTCTACAAAGGTAATGCTATCAGTCAAATGAATCTCTTTAACGAGGATGCAATTATTCGAACTCTGGAAACCAATCTGAGCAGTTGTGTCGAAGAAAGTTTGCAAAATTTGTCATCTCTTGATAAAAGTGAGGTTTTTGTCGAAACAGTGACTTTGAAATATGAATCGGGCTCAGGAGCAACAACTCTTGGAAGGCAGATTTTATGGCAAAAAAGAGAAACTTACAGATGTGCTGTTGTGAAAAAGATAACTGAGACAACAGATCATCAAATCAACCAGTTGTACAAATTTCAATATGAAACTTCTGACTTTGACCCTTTTCAAATTCCACCGGTTTTAGTACTCGTTGACAACTTTCCTGAACAACAATTGCATCGCTTAATCGACAAACTGATAAGGAGTAAAACCAAATGTCTTCTTCTAAATACGGTACCAGTCGGCAAGCAAACTAATATTGAAGACGATAATTTAACCCTAGGAAAGCTGGATGATACTGAAAGATGTCTTGTGCGTAAGGCTCTTGATACCTTGGAAAATGAGGACATAACAAAGGCAGTCAAAGTTCTAAGCCGCGAACGAAGATTTGTGTGGCTTGGGTTGGAGCTTTTTGGACGAGAATATGCTGACATAAAAGGACGTTTGGCAAAACACATTGATCAAGTTCTATCGTCAATGGATCAACTGAATGATGCGTATCAGATGATTTTACATTTCTGCTGTTTGTTAGACTGCTACAGCCAGCGCCGATCTTTATTCCCTCAGCCATGCGTTGAAGCCATTCTCTGTCTGAAAAGTAAAACGAAAGCAATTCATGACCAGTTTGGCGGACTCTTATTGTTTGATACTAATAAATCAATGGGATGCAGTGGATGGCGACCAGCCCATTCGCTAGTAGGAGAGGTTGTCCGTGAAAAAATTGATCTGGTTGACACTGCAAAAAGGTTAATCGACCAAATAAAGAATAAAAGCACATATGTAAACAAGTATTTGACGGAAGAAATCGTAACTGTTTTTCTACAGCGCGAGAAAATTGCTGAAGACCAATTTGGTGATAATGACAGTGATAACAGTGAAGATGAACTAGTCGGCATATTACAACTAAGGAAAAAATACTCGCAACTAATATTGGACGTGCTAGCAAGCAAAGAGGTAAAGAACATACGGAATGCACTGGATCTTTTGATCACGTTAAATGAAAAAGTTGAAACCACTCAGCATAAAGCACACACTTTTCAACAGGTTGCCAGAATGTTTGCCTACGAAATTGGAATGAATCAAAATGCTGAAGAGCTTTTTCCCATTATAGAACGTTTGAATGAGATAGTTAAATCGTATGGCCCCTCGTCTGACTCTTTAGGAAATGGGTTTGATATTGCTCACAGAGTAATCGATGAATCAATAAAACTGCAACCGTCACATCTCCATCATTTTGTAACGAAAGCAACATTTTACAGAAGCCAACTTAAATATCTTCTCGAACAAGTCGAAAAGAAATCGTTAGAAATTGAAAATTTAAAATCCCTGATCGAGGATGCAATTAATACAACAAGAAAAGGAATTGATTTGTTTGACGGTACATTACAAACAAATAATCGGGACAGCTATTTGCATGCCATGATAGGAAAAGTTCACACAATAGTCGTCGTTGTAGAGATGTTCAAGAGTTTGCCTTATTTTGTGCATCATAGTGCTGGTCCCGATGAAAGTTTTAGAGAGTACCTGACATTTCATCAACATCCCAAACAGCTTACTGTCTTAATACACGAAAAAAACCTTGATTACTTTATTTCTCTTACAAAGAGTGCTGTTCAAAATTTCAACGACTTTTTTGGAGAAATAAAGGTCCGGCGTAAGCTTTCATTTAAAAAGCATGAACTGAAGGAATTAGAAAAGCCCAAATCCGACTAATGAAGTTGAGGACAAAGTTTTACAAAGTGACAAACCTTGATCGAACAAGGATTAAAAAGGGGTTGGTTTCGACAGAGGATATTGTTAACGACATTTTGTACCAACATCACGAAAATCCCTTTAGCTCATGGGCAAGGCTAACTCCGCAGCATGTTGAAAAAATTTATACCCTCCTTAAAGACGCAGCCCCTAAAGAAACTCACTCTGATAATGCAATGCTCACGTATGTCAAAGCAGCGATTCAACAAGACATTGACATTAACACATTGTCAAATATGGTGCAATCATGGTGCAAGAGATTTCCTAAATCATCTTGGGCACATGTCTTCAATTATATGATCCATTTTCCTATTCCAAACAATTCACTGAAAACCGATATTGACGTTGTGAAGAAGTCAATAACTGAATGTCGCATGAAAATTGCGTTAAGAAATACAGCATCGCAAAGATCTGTGGCAGAATATCTGTTGGGGAAAGGTATCGGAGCGAGATCAGTTATTCCAATGGCGAACGTTGTCAATCATAACCAAGAACCAAATGCAGACAACCGAAACATTCAGTGTGAAACAAAATTTTGGCGCAGCAAAACTGTGTATGAGAAGCTAGAACGATTAGTAGGAAAGAAAATCAAACAGGGAATTTTAACTTATAGAGGCATCGAGATTCCTTTTGACAATGAGAAATATCCACACATCAGCTGGGATGATTTGTGGTTTTGTTTGGGATTTACCATTACTGGACCTTATGCATATGACCCAATTGGGAAAGATACATATATGAAATTGCAAAAGCAATTTGAACAGAAGCAAAATAGTTTACAGAAAGAAGACATAGCCTTCGTTAATGCATGGTCAAAACAGGCCCCAATACGACAAAAAATTAAAGAAACTAATGTTGCCTTGGATATGCCTTCTGGTCCAGTTCCAGAAGATAAAGATGATTTAGTTCCAGAAACCAGTTTTTCATCAAATATTAATCCATTCGATGATCGATTAGCAGATGTTCAAAAAAATTCAAAATATATCAAAAAATTCCATACTTCAGAAGGAAATCAGCTGAAATTTCCTCCAATCAAAATATTGAAAAATGGAAGAATAAAACATGGAGCTGTTGTTCTAGGAGCTAGAAAATCTGCTGAATGTAATCGTCACACTCGATCCAGAGCAAGAGACTTCCCCTCGGATTGTCCATTTGCGCATTCATGGAAGGGTGACCCTGTGAGACAAACTATTTGTGAAATTTGCACAAAGAAACAAAGAGATAAATGTTGTGACAAATTTGGGCACAATGCAAAGCATTATGATCTTGGACCTTATATGTTCTACAAACAATAACTTTAATGTCCCTTGCCGGAATGTGACTTGATTGAAAATGTTAAAACAAGAGGAATTTTGGACTACCATCGGAAAAATCACCAACAAGAGAAGTCGATAAAAACGACAGTTGTTGTTAAATAAACCATAAGCTACTTGATTTTAGCTGGCAGGCTCCGTTCAATACAGCAACTGCAGCATTCCTAGGTAATGTAGCAGCAAGTTATAATAAAGTTGATCTGTTGAGGGTAAAGTAGAGATCTACACAAAAGTGACAAAACATAAATTTGAAGCATATGGATACGTAATTTTGTCCTAATATAAATATTTTTGATTGTTTCATATGTTCTGTCAAAATGTAAGCATTTTTTAAGCTATTGACAGTTTTTAGGAAACGTTTTGGATGTATGTTTCAAATATTAACTTTTATCATGACATAGGTTAACATAATTATTCTAATAAAAATAATCGTTAAAAGGAAGCAAATGTGCTATTTTTATATATTCCCTTGCGGCTCAAAGAAGTGTGGTTGGTAAACAAGAAAAATATGATTTGCTTGATATAAAATCGTTTAACTCTTTCTAGATTTATTACGTTAAATGTTTGGTTTAAATCTACATGACCCCCCATGAGACCATACGAATTTCAATTCATAATGACAGAAGTGAAAAACGAATTAAAAACTCCTGATTTTTTGTAATACATCTTTAGTTCTTCATGTATGCCTTTGGATTTATTGTAAACTGGATGACATGAGAAGGTAAAAGTAAAATAAAGACACGATTAACTATAAAAAGATGGAAAATGTCTGAATCAAACTCATAGAGTATGCTTTCTGCTTTCAATAAGCAACAGAAAGTAAAGTGTGTGTTTTCTGTGTGTTAATGTAACTCGTAACCATTGTCAGATATTGCAGTAAAAATACTTCTTCGTGATTTCTAGCGTGGAACACACGTACAGTATCCTGGTTGTATCTTTGTTTCGCGTGTGCTGACAATATCTTACAATCTTACAATACACTGAATGGTATTGTCAGCAGACAATTCACGCTTGCAGAATATGATATACACAAATATGCATAATTTTACCAAGTTTTCCTCATGTTGATATGGACTCGCCGACTCGAGACATTAGGGAGCTTTAGCAAGAGTACGACTACGACAACGAGTACTCTTTAGGTTTAGGAAGAGGAATACTTACTATTGTTAAATGGAAACACCGTTGAATAAAAATACCATCGTAAATTTGTTTACATCAACCATTTAGGGTGAGTACTGAATTGGTTTTTGTAATTTATTCTTTTGTTGGTTTTGCTCATAAAGCTTGTTATTGACGTGAAAAGTTATTTATGCTTATATGAGTGAGATGAAATAGCGAAAATGTAGTAAGACATTTTAAATTAAACATATTAAAGGATGAGATTGAGAGTCATCTACCGTCACGTGACATGGTCAATACAGTAACAAAATGACAAGAAAATCATAAAACAATAGCTGGTATCAGTAATTTTACAGTTTTGACGTCAGGCAGATGTATCCAAGTGCATTTCAATGATTTCAGTTTCCACAATTATTTACTTGCTATCACAACATTATTGTACATTAAAGATGGTGACAGTGGGTCATATCGTATCTTTCTCGTACATTTAGGGATATATTTCTGGAAAAACATTGGAGAAGTGTTTTGGGACGCTCTGTTTGTGATTATTTTTTCGAAGCTCAAGGAAAGGTAAATGAATATATGTGTAAATTGTTGTTTGTGTTTGTTTGGTTGAGAAGTTTTAAGGTTCTTTCATGAACGGTTTTCATGTTATATTTTTCTGACAAAAATGCTCCTAAACAAATTAAATATCATATATCATATATAAACTTTTTAGTTTATTTTTTAGGCCGAATCTCCTGAAGACATTCCTCCTGTAATTGCAACAGGATTCAGTTGTCTTATCAGTATATTTCGCCATGATCTCTTCTTTGTTTCTGTTGTTGAAATATGTAAAGGTTTGTGTTTATATTACATCATATTTGATGAATATTATTTTAAAGGTTATTTCAATGACAATGGAAAGAGATTGATTGCCAGTATTGATTGCAAGAGTACTACATACTGACATATATACATTGAAAGGAAGTGTTATCATTCTACAAAAGGCATACATTAGGCATTCTGAATGGTTGGCAAAAATAATTGAGCCGTCTGTCATGATTATTATTATTGATAAAGTGAAAACATTCCTTTCCAGTTCCACCTTTGTTTGTGATTGAATTTCTTCATCAAATGGTTGACTTAATCAAAGAATATTTATGTCATTGTATATGAGGTTTGTTTAAACAAGAGTTATTTGTATGTTTTGTAGAGAATCCAGCTGTTTCATAGATGAATGTCAATTATTTTCTGCTTTGTGTGATGTGAAGTATGATATTATATCTTTATATCCTTAAGTTATTAGAAGAGATGTTAAATAATGGATTTCCACTTGCAACAGAATCAAATGTTCTTAAAGAGTTGATAAGACCTCCTAGTATAGTTAGAAATGTTGTTAACAAAGTTACTGGAGACAGCAAGTAAGAACCTTTTTTTGTAGCAAACTTCTTAGCCATGTTTTTGTCATCAGACCCTTAAGTTGGCAATAAATTTGAACTATTAGTGTATGAAAGAAAAACTGTCTTGTTTGTTTCTCAGATATTGAGATGAACATGAACCTTTTATTTGGAGTATGTTTCTGAATACACTTCATGTATGTATGTGTATAGTCATGTTGATGCTGTTACATCTTCTTACATTTATAAAGTTCAAGATATAACGTAAACTTCTCCAATTTTTTCATGTTCTATAAAGGTTTCGTGTATAAAACTAACTACATCGTTCAAACATTATAATATTAAATCAAATGTGCTGTATGATAACTTTTTCAGGGTCATATCACTCAAAGCTTCCATATTTGATTTAGATTGAGAATGTTAACGTAACTGTTTCATTTCCTAAACAAGTTCTCAACCTTAACTTGACTACAAACTGTAAAAAAACTCATAAAATATTAAACATTACAGTGTGATGTTTCATTGCTCTTCATTGACGTTTCCCATCAACATTTATGACTTGTGTTCCATGTTTTTAGTTGGTACCTATTCATTTGATCCAATCAAAAAAGAGCTTTCATGGGAAGTAGGTTCATGAAGAAATTGTCACGATCACGTGGTTATGTGAATCTAACGTTACGTTAAACAATTTTAGATCGGTAAAATACAATCTCAGACACCGTCACCTAACATTAAAGGAAATGTATGTAAAACTTGTTTTTCTTTTAATTTTTGCCCGTCTCTGTTGATTTACAGACGTCTTGCCATGTTTATCAAGAAAATATTTTCAAATTTTTTGCATGCAGAGCAAGATCTCTCTTCACAACATTTTTTGCTCACGAAGTAAAGTAAGGTCGATCTTTCCAGTAACCATTCCTTGGTCACAAAGTAAGGTCGATCTTGCCAGTAACCATTCCTTGGTCACAAAGTAAGGTCGATCTTGCCAGTAACCATTCCTTGGTCACAAAGTAAGGTCGATCTTCCCAGTAACCATTCCTTGGTCACAAAGTAAGGTCGATCTTTCCAGTAACCATTCCTTGGTCACAAAGTAGGGTCGATCTTCACAGGTCGCTATCACTGTAGTTATATTCCTAAATTGTATTCTCTTTTC